TTTTTTTTTTTTTTTTACCATATCTAGGAAGTGTTTCTCATAAGATGTCCTGGGTGATAGCGGAATCCATTGATTTCTCCCATTACACAAACAAGCAACAAAAAAACCCTCCCAGAAATAATTTGTGTTATTTATCTAGTTGTTATATTTCTTTGGAAGACCATATAAACTCTCTGTTAGAGTTATCAATTTCTTTAACATCTCTAATTTAAAATACGGTTTGCCTTTTATGAAAGTATCCTTTATACCTGATTACTGGAAAAGTAGGGATGTAATGTAAACTTTTTTTCTTTAACACTTGACTATGTAAAAGTGAAGCATAGTACAATCTAAAGGTGTGTGTGTGTGCATATACACATATGTATTAGAAATATGTACTTATTTGGCTTCACCAAGTGATTAGAGTTATGCAGTTCAAATTTAAAGTAGTTTTGATATATGACTGATAAGATGATGCATTTTGCTAACTTGCCACTCTAGTTTAATGCTGCTAAGATACTTTTTCTTCTTATTTAGTATGACATAAAAGTCTACATTTTATTATCCAGACTATATTTCTGACTCTTTGTGGGGGGAAAAAATAGGACCAAATATAGTCAAGTCTCATTACCTAATGACAGTGAAACACAGGAAGCACATGGATAATTAAGTCCATTGTCAAACCAGCCTATCAAACTATGTTAGCCAGGATTGTCTCCATCGTCCTCCAGAAAGGCTTTTATTTGAGTTGCTGCTGATTGCCGAGATGGAGGGTTTGAATTTTAATTTATTTTATCTTATTCTTCCCTTAGCAAAGATACTAATGAACTAGGAGTTGAGTTAAAGGCCAGAAGCATTTACAGGGAAGGAAGATATATGTCCAGCTAGACAATCTGAAGAGAAGCACCCCTAAATTACTAAGAATTGAACTCTCACTATTGTTAAGGCTTCTGACATCCTTTGGGTCTGGACTACCATTGATTTGTGTGCAGACATGGAACTAAAAGGTTGTTTGAAAACATGCTTCCTTAGTGGACAGAACCTTGCTTACGTTTTCTGAAGAGTATACAAGGAAGTTAGAGAGTTGATTCAAATTTGATAAGAAAATTTGTGACCTTCTAGTTATATTCTCAAGGAAAGCTAAGAGTGTATTTTCCTCCTAAAAGTGCTGTGGTCCTGGGAAAGATTTTGATCAGGCCCACTCCTAATATTTGTGGGACCTGAAGTAGGAGTGAAAATGGAGGCCATGGACCATATGTCTAAATTTAGAGTCATAAATAAAGCCATCCAACTATTAAATAAACTGTGATCTATATTCCTTTCTTGAGAAGATCCTTTATAATGTCCTAGAAGGCTAGTGAATTTTTATTCTTCGACTCTGGGGATTGTGGGATTCCACATCAGAACATGACAATGTGAGGATTGGGTCCTGGCCAGCCACTCTAGAAAACAACTGCCTTGGTCTCCCATTAGGTAAACATAGATTTTCAGATTCTAAGAATTAATCTCTCAATGCATAGACATAAAACACTTAAAACCACTCTCCTGTTCTCTCATATTCTCAGGCCTTCTCTAAGTCATTGAGGGCTGAATGGGAAATGGTAAGGATAATAGTTACCAGGGATTATACCAGACATAGCTATAGGTTCTTTGTGTATTTGATTTCAGGTATCAGCATTTTTCCTGCATGGGACTAAGTATTTCATAAAGCAGGATACACACAAAAAGTACACACAAATTGTTCTAGCTTTTGTTATTTTAAGAATTATGCTATTAAAGTTACCTTCCCTCATTGTAACAAATTTTGAATTAATACCTTGAAACAAAGCAAAGCAAAATGTAAAGAACAAGAGCGGAATTTGGCTGCTGCCTCTAGAGGTAGAGCAGGTCAGTTGTTCACATACTGATCTGGTTTGATCCAGCCTGACTTTTGGCTTGGTGGGAGAAGAAAGAAGTTGCCTTGCTTTTTCCCATATTAAACATAGGCTTGTCACCTCCCTTTCACCCCTGGGAGGAAGCAGCCCTACTAGGTGAGGCTGATTCAGCCTTTGGAGGTCTAATGACATGTGCCAGTAGCCAACTAATTTTTCTAATGCAGTAAGAAAATTCATAGTTTTATATTATGCCTAACAGATGAAGCTTTACAGGAAATAGGATTCTTCATTTATTTTGAAAGGTAAATACATAGGTGGGTATATAAGGGAAAATGGAGAAGGGTGGGATTTAATCCTGTGTGCTTAGGCTTCAGGAGAAGAGAGGTGCCATTTCTGAACACAGCCTCATTGATTATTGTGGTGGCCGAAGATGACCTGTTTTGAAGATGTTTGGCTTTGTAAACTGAAATGCAAATCATTAAAACAGATAAAACAAGGGTAAAAGTAAGCATAGAAACTGAGAATGAGAAATTAATAGGATGTTGGAAATGACCACAGCAGTTCAGTTCATGAATCAATGTCTGCTTGCGGCGTTTTCCCCCTTGTTCAGTTCGTGGTGCCCGTTTTATGTCACATGAGCACAGCAGTGCGGTCAGGGCAGGAAGCACCCCTCGGCACTCTCTCCTCAGGAACTGTCGCACCCCAAAGCTACCTTGAAGAAAGTAAACATGTTTGAACAGTCTTTAGAAACTAGTTTGTTTCCTCAGTTTACAAATCAACCCAAAGCAGGTAATGGTGGGGTGGGTCATGTCGGGCCTGCTACCCACCACTCGACTCTGCACAGTGCTCTGGGGCAGCTGCGGCAGCCGGAAGGCGCCGCTGTCGCGTGGCCGGTGACAGGAGGGCACATGTTTAAGTCTCAGCTTTGAAGCTCTTGTGTTAATCGTTAAGTTTTGCTAAGTCTGTGCTTTTAAAAAAGGTAACAGTGTCAGTATATTATGATTGTAACTGCTACATTAATGCTCAGAGGCTGCATCTGTGCTGAGGTGAGGCATGAATGGCTGGACGAGTTCAGAGAGGCTGCTGCCTCCAGTGCCTTTGTGTAATGGTATTTACTAGATTGTAAATGGACTGCAGAGAAAGATGAAATATGATCTCATGTATTATCTCCATCTTCAGAAAAATAGGTAATGAAATTGTTCTCTTGCTGGCATATATTTTATTAACCTTTGTGGAGTCAGCTTAAAGAACAGATGTCCTTATAGAGTTGAAACCTTTTGCTGAAGTCGAACATTATTTAAGTGCATTTGTGAGTCTAGGAACAGTAGGGTTGAGTAAAGCAGGTAAGTATTTTTTAAAACATCTCATAATAAAATAGCACAATCTGGGGCTCGTTGGAGAAAACAAAATGCAATGTAAATTGTATACAACAAAATTCATTTTTCTTTCATTTTTCTTTCTTACAGAGCCTGGAGAAAGTTCTTATGGAATTCAGTCACAAGGAGTTGTTTGACTTCTATAACAAGGTCAGTTTTTTTTAAATAATTTCTGATATGTGGGTTTTCAAAATGTTTCCTTCATTTTATGAATTCTTATTTTTAAATGCCGTATTATGGAACTAAGTTCTTTAAACTTCCCCGGTAAACACCTTTTGTTCCACAGTCGGAAGCATTGCTGAGATGGAGAGAATATGACAAACTCAATCAGGAGGAAAGTAGAAGTGATTATTAAAGCAATAGGATTGTTGTAATGCCAAGCGTTAAGTAATGAACTATGTGGTACTTAGCCATACTGGTGCTTTAGGTACAGTAATGTTAAATATTTTAATTTCTGGGCCCAAGGGAAAAGGAGGATGCCAGGCCTTTAAAGATTTATCTTTGAGCATATTTGTTTCTTTACAAATACTGATTTCATAATCCAAAAGAATGTACCCCCCTGCCTCAGAAATCTCGTGTAGTGGTCATTTCCTTGAAACAGATGGGTATATTTAAAACAGTATTATTTAAAAATCCACCTTTACAAATTTGAAAACTTACCTTCTCTTTTTTTACTCTAAAAAAAGGAAATTTTTCTAGAGTATTTTTATTGCTGTGTAAGTGGATTTAACATACATAGTTGCCAGTTTCTTTCTTTGCCTTCTATTTGCATGTTTCTAAACAACACTTGATATAAATTCTCTCCCTTCACCAACTTTCTATTTTTGTCTGTGTAAATAGCTAGAGACCATACAAGCACAGCTGGATTCCCTTACATGATGTGCAAGACTGGTGACTCCATCACACGCCTGCCACCTCATCATTTTGCATTGAAGATAAACTTGAAATTTTTCTAGAGTATTTTTATTGCTGTGTAAGTGGATTTAACATACATAGTTGCCAGTTTCTTTCTTTGCCTTCTATTTGCATGTTTCTAAACAACACTTGATATAAATTCTCTCCCTTCACCAACTTTCTATTTTTGTCTGTGTAAATAGCTAGAGACCATACAAGCACAGCTGGATTCCCTTACATGATGTGCAAGACTGGTGACTCCATCACACGCCTGCCACCTCATCATTTTGCATTGAAGATAAACTGCCAGGTTGTGTTTTCTGAAGGATTCAGTAAGCTTTCTTCTTATAAATTATATGGCTGTTGCTTCTTAGACAAACAATAGCCAGGGGAGACCATTGTTCTGAAAACAGGTTCTAATATATGTTTTCTAGTTCTGTGAGCCAAGAGCACTTTTGCTTTAAAAGATATGCACCTGAAGTGCATACCATATTTACTGTCCTATTTTTGCCTTATTGCCTCACCTGTTTATTTGTTACATACCTGACAACACCTTTATGTATCAAGGAGAGTCCATGGATACCCTGTGTAATGTGTACCTTAGAATACAGAACATCAGTAATTAATAAAAGTAAGAAAGCAGCCACATGCAATCACATCATTATGACAGTTTTCCTTAAGTATAATGAGTATATTTTTCTTGGGAAATAATATAGGAAAGAACTTTTAAATAGACCCACTAGTAGTATACCAGTTTATTCTAGTATGAGTTTCTCTGTGCACTTTAATTTTTCTCTGAGTTTAATGATTTAAAAGTAGTCCAGGTTTTTGTGTGCTTTTCTTTGTTCTGCACATTAATAATGACTTACTTTATAGTGTGGGAGACAGATTCAGATCATGAATAAAAATAACTATAATGCATGCTAAATGGGAACCCTTAAAATTTCAAAAGATACTTTTTATATTCTTTCTGTAAATACATTAATTTCAGTCAATAAAATTTTGACTGCTTAGAATTAGTTGAACTGAAATGCATGGTATTTCATGCTATGAATATATAAAAATGCAAGTATAGTTGCCTCTAAGAAAATATCAATTGAATTTTTTATGAATGAAGTATCTGTCCTATATTGTTTCCAGAGAATCCGAGGAGGGAGGGAAGGACAAAGGGAAGTAGCGGGTAAGAAGGAGATGCTGGGGACTTGGCAGGGGTGACAGGATGGGAGAGATTGATTCATTCAAACCTGACTTTCTTCATATGAAGGAATTTGATTTTAGAAATGTCCTGTAGTTAATAAACAGGGCCATTACAATCAAATCATACTCCTTTTGTGAGGTATCTGAGTAATAATGCAAGTTGTTGAATATCTCCCAAATAAATGTTTTATATATGGAATTTCTTCCTTGACTTACTTGTATGTTATTTAGACAGATTGGGAGTTTGGATTATTTCAGAAAAGTAAATATTGTAGTTGCTGTCCATAATTGATTTGAAAAGTTTTAAACTCAAATTTCCATTGATAAGATATCTGGAAGACATGTTTATACTACAGTGGGATTTGTTTCTGTATGTGGCTTGTGGGATATAATTTTTTTATGCTCTATTCTGCTGGTCTCCAGAGGCAACAACCTGACTGCTGTAAACATTTTGCTATATATTCTTTTCAACTTCTTATGTACAAATAAACATATACATCATCTCAAGTTGAATTTGTTAGGCCTTCCTGACAGTGACCATAGGGATAGGTGAAGTTTTCATTGATTTAATGGCCAACTTGAATCCCCATGTAGGTATCTAAATTAAATGTGACAGTTCCAAGTGAAATTTTCTATTAGTAGGTCATTTTATACTCCCTAAAAGAGCTGGTCTTATACTCAGACATATCTAAACCTATTCAAAAAAATGTGGTAAATAGTTTTCTCTCCATTAGTCTAGTTCGAGAAAGTCTGACCAAAGGCATTGAAGAAGGGAAATGTAAAAGGTTTAATTCCAACTAAGAACATAATTATTCCTGAAATATATTAAATTGCAGTTCGTTTTATTCCATAAGGCACCATCATTATTATGACACACAAGTCAAGAAAATATCATTCCTAAAGAGATTAAATACTCTTTCATATGTTACTTTTTCATAGAAATAAAATGGGTAGAGGGATAAGTGGGTACTGGCACCTCCTATCAATAAATATGTCTTGTATGAATATTTGACATGAGGATTGAATAAAAATAGAATTACTTGCTAGAAAGGAACGAATGCACTATTTTTGTACATACTACAAATAATATCTACAATTATCTAGTTATAAAATATTATTTTTCATTAGAAAGTACAAAATATCATAAAGAAGTAACCTAAAATTATAGAATCCCTCATCCAGAAGTGGCTATTAACATTTTGGTAGATTTTATTGAAGTTTTTATTTCTATCCATGTATCTTTCTTTTTTCTCCTTTTTTTCTTACTTTCCTAATAAATTGGAGTTAATGCCATAAATACAGTTTCATTCTTTGCTTTGCTTATATATAACATTGTAACATGAGCATTTTTCATGTCCTGTTAACAAAATGTTAATATATATTATATAGCCCATTATTTGAATGAGCTACACTTTAGTTACCTAATCTAGTGTTGGACATTTATGTTATTTCCTATTTTTTAACATACTGAAGAACTCACTGGTGAGCATCACTATATATAAACACTAGAACACATCTCTTGTTATTTTATTAGTATATATTCTTAGGGGTGGGATTACTATGTCAAAAGTATGAAGATTTATTTTCTATTTTTATCTTTAATGGGATTTTTATTATAAAAATAGTAATTGTCAGTATAAAAAACTAAAAATGTTCTTCTGTTTTGTCATCTCACTCCTCAGAAGTACCTACCTAACTACTTAGAAACATCTGGTTTATGTCTTTTCAGACATCTTATGTAAATACACATACACCTCTCTTTGTATGTTTTTATTTATTTACATATATTTAATGGCAGTTTCTGTGTATTGATGAGCTGTTTCCCCAAAGGTTCCTGTCAGTTTATACTCCCACTGACAGTAGGGGCCCCGCCTCCTGGTCTACATTTCCTTCTCACCTTCTTTTCACCTTGGGGTTGGGTTTGGGGAGGAGGCCAAGAGTAGGTTGGAGAGAAGACTGTCCCTAATTACTTGGGATAGGTCGTGGCGCAACTCCGGAGGGACTGAATACGAAATCTCTTCTAAAGGCAATGAGTGTGAGAGGCAGGGCACAGTATTTAAGGAAGGGCCCTGAGGTCATACATTTATTCCCTCAAGAAATATTCAGTGAGTGCCGTTGGTGCCAGAAACCATATATGCTAGGGGCCTTGTTAACAGTTGATGAGCAAAATAAATATAGTTCCTCGATTCTTGAAGCATAATGTGTTAGATTTAAATCAACTCAATCTGTTGTTAAATGAAAACATAATGTGTTGGATTTAAAAAACAAGCAAAATGTAATAAGTTGTGAACAAGTATAGGAAAAATAATAGGATTGTGTTAAGAGAAAATAAAAGATGTAACCAAACTTACATTGGGGCATCAAGATAGAAAGATTCTCAGAAGAAGTGAGATTTGAGCTGAGTCTTGTAGGTTGAGTGTCAATGAAGCAATGGAAGAACAGAGGAAGTGGCCCATGTAGTGTCCCAGAGATTGGATCAGCACCTTTCGGGAGCCAGAGACCAGTGTGGCTAGAGTGGAGAGAACAAGGGCATGGAAGAGTGGCTTACAGGTAGAGAGGTAGTCCTCTCACTCCCAGACTCAAAATATCTTGCAAATAAACCTCCAGAACACTACCTTTTCCAAGGTATCTCATCTTAGCCCTGGACTATACTGCTTCCATTCTAGCCTGCCTTCAGTCCAGTTCTCACACAGAGCTAATGATTTAAAAAACATTAGTCATATTCAAGTACCAAATGATTTCCCTCATTTGTGGAGTAGAACAACAAAGCAAAACTGAAGGAACAAAAGAGCAACAGACACAGACTCCAAGAAGGGACTAGTGGTTACCAAAGGGAGGGGTGGGGGAGGAGGGGTGGGGAGGGAGGGAGGAGGGGATTGAGGGGCACTATAATTCGCAGTCACAATATACGTAGGTCACGGGGAAGACAGTACAGCACAGAGAAGACAAGAAATGACTCTCTAGCATCTTACTATGCTGATGGACAGTGACTGCACTGGGGTTGGGGGAAGACTTGATAATATGGGTGAATGTTGAAACCACAGTGTTGTTCATGTGAAACCTTCATAAGATTATGTATCAATGATACCTTAATTTTTAAAAAATTAGTCATATTAATTACACCATCTTCCTGCTTAAAACCCTTAAAAGGCTTCCTGTTATACTTTAAATAAAATTCAAGTGTCTGGACTCTCAGAATACAGACTGAGTCATATTCTAGTTCTACTACTTTTTGTGTTACTTAATTTGCTAAAGCTTAGTTTCCTCATCTTTGTAATGGGAATAATAATCTATATAACATGGGACTGTTATAAAGATTAAATGAGATAATTCTTGTTAAACATATAGCATAATTCCTAATTTCAGTAATCACATAATAAGAGTTAACTGTCATTTTCATAATCACTAAGAAATTGACCAGGCTTTTTGTTGGAATTGTTCCAGGTAAGGTTTGAATTAAAGTCGAAATTGCAGAAAGCATGCCATGAAGCCCCTTCATTTTGAGTTTACTTGGAGACCCAGCAACAATTCTTATTTTATGATCACTGGATTGAACATAATGCCAATCTATCCCACTCTTACTTCTTTATTAACAAAATAAGATATATTATGAGATGTGACCAGAATCAGAAATATTTTTTTTCTATGGCTATCTTTCTACATAGCTCTCCTGGCTGTGAGAAATCTTTTTCTGTAGCTCTATTTAATAAATTTCTATCTCTTTTTACATTAAACAATGTCTTCTGAACATTATTCATTATACCAAGGGTCAGCAAACTAATCCAGTACGCTGGTTGTTCTTATAAAGTTTTACTGGAACACAGCTATGGTAGACATGCCCAGTCATCGCTGCCTTTGGGTATCCTCACCTAGGTATAATCCTCTCCCCTTGAGGGTGGCCAGCACCTGTTGCTCGATCCTAACCAATTGAATATGTTAAAGGTAGTTGGATGTCACTCCCATGATTGATATGTTATGTAAAATTCTGTCATGCTACCAAACTTACTCTAGAGACTTTCTCCATTCTTGGCTTTGATGAAGCAAGCTACCAGGTGTGAGAGCGGCTGTGGACAGAACCACACAGCAAGGAATTGCAGGTAACCTCTAGGACCTGAGGGTGACCAATAACCAGCACGAAGCTGAGACCCACAGTCCTCAGTAAATCTGGGTGAGTTTGGAAGTGGCTTCTGTCCCAGTCAGGCCTGCAGATAACAGCACAGTCCACCTCGCTGTGGTAGTGGCCTTGTGACATCCTGCATGAAAGACCCAGACTCCTGATCCATGGTAATTGTGAGAGAATAAATGTGTATTGATTTAAATTTCTGAATGTTTAGTAATTTGTAATAAATCGGCTGTAACGGGTAAGTTTAGTAATTTGTAATAAATAGGCTGTAACTGATAACGTAAACAACAGCCATACTCTTTCATTTGCATACTGTTGACCCTCAAACAACACGGGTTTAAAATGCATGGGTCCACTTTATATACAGACTTTTGTCAGTAAATACAATACATTACGTCTCTTGCTCTAGAACAGCAGTCAGTGGAGGAGTTGTAACAGAGAGCTTATGACCCAGAAAGCCTGAAATATTTACTACCTGGCTCTTTACAGGAGTTTGCAGACTTCTGCCTTACACTGTGCTGCTTCCCTGGGACATCCCTAGAGGAATATAACAGTTGATAGAGGGATACAAAAGTTCATAAGGTGAATAATGTATATACTTCTGTAGCATCATTTTTGCTTTAATTTTTGCCAGCCACATAGCCACCCAATTGCAGATTATATTTTCTATCCTTAGCAGCTACTGCAGCCATGTGACTAGGTGTCACCATGAAATGTGAGTGGAAGTGATACTCATTTCCATTCTTCTTTGCCCTTTCTGTGAGTGAAACAGATCTGGAGCACGTCAGCTTTGACTGAGCCTCCAGGGATAGTGCTCTAAGGGTCAGGGAGCCCCTGACTAGGTGGAAGGAAGCTTGGTTCCCAAATGTCCTCACGGGGCAGCGCTCCCATCCTGCCCTTGACAAGCCGCGTCTCCAGACCATTATGTGAGAAATGAAACATCTTGTTTGAATAATTTGGGATCTTGGATGGGGAAGGGGCAGTATTTTTATTTATTTGGGATCTTTTTTTTAATTTATTTGGGATCTTTTTAATACAGCAACTTAGCCTATAGCCTAACTAATATGATGGTAACATGATTTTAGTTCTCCAATAGTTTAGAGCATTTCTATTTTTAAAGAGAGAGGAATATTGTATGGCATATAGTTCAACGTACCTATAAGTGTTAACAAGAAAATTAGAAACTTCAAAAAAACACTTTGTGCTTGCAGCCTCCCACTTCAGGCTAACCTCCAAGGGCCTCTGGGAGGATAGACTCGCCCCCTCTCCCTCAGTGTGGCTATTTGGAAGGAAGAGTTTGTGAAACCATGGATGTATACTGTAAATTTCTCCCAAAGTCTTTACATAATCCCTTTTCCACTGTTGAAGAGGGCAGGAAAATTCTGACTTGTTTAGGCTCATTAGTGAGAAGCCACTCAGGAATTAGAATTTAAGGTTCAGATGAGTCAATTTTGCTTCCATAAAACTTTGATTTTTGTCATTATGCAAATAGTGCTACACAATACACCAGCCTGATTTACTGCTAAAATTAGGAGCACATTAATTTGAGGGATTTTATAGTAAAGTTTAATGGCATTTAAAATGTTGGAGAATTTCAAGGATGTTAGCATTGCTTCCTCTGTCACCCTTACCCACCCCAACATACATAACTCTTGAATCTTTCCAAAGGTCTTTTGCTCCTCTTTGAAGTGTGAGGTCGTCCTGAAGATCTATGACTCAAATCCAAGTGATGGCAATTTTCCTAGCCTGCTTATTTGTTTTATTTGAAATGCAAAGTTATTCTTTTTTATTTCAAAAGAAATAGTCTGCAAAGACAGGAAAATTGAACCAAGTCCAGTCTATAAATCTGTAAGGAGAATGGTATAGGATTAGAAAAGTCTTTAAATCTCCAAGGCAGGACAAATAATGAATGTATAATAATGTTCCCTTAGTCAAACCAGAGTTCAGTCATTTTTAGCATCTTTTTAATGAGAATCTGAGTCTTATTTTATAAATGACTTGGTTTTTTAAATATTTTTTTCCTTAAAGGAATCTAGGTAAAGCAAAGAAGAGGAAAGCAGTTAATAGTAAATGTAATGGTTGCATTTATTTCTGAAACTGACTTTTAAAGAGCACAAGAAACCCTACTTGACTAGTCTAAGAAAAAGCCAATAATTAGTTTTTTCTGATCTATA